ATCGTATACGATATAATCTTTAATAACAAGTCCAGTTTGACAAGCCATACGATGTTATCCGATTAAATTCATGATAAATAAGTACTGCGATGCGTGCCATTCTTATATGCGATGCTGACTTTATTTGAACAGATTGGTAGGTTACTCATGTGATGAATGACCTACGCTTTTAGAAATTCCTCCCTACAAATGAGTAAAAATGATTTCCCCACGGTACGTAAGAAGCAATGCTGAGAAGCAAACTTTAAACGCGTTTTTCTCGGCTTGCTGATTTGTTCTATGGAACGGACTTGCCATGAGCGGCAGTCTGACAATCCAGAATTTTGTTTGTATGAAAAATACGGTTTGAACAAAATTGTGAATAAGGGGGAACAGCTAATTCCTAAAGTTTTTACACAGATTACCAAGAGTGATATAGAGAAAATTTCTTGGGAAAAAACTTGCGAAGTGATTTTTTTTTTCAAAATATTCGACACATAAACTACACAGGATGTAATTTTTAACGAAAAATCAGATTCTGAGACTTGGTATGTTAAGAATTTCAAGCCGAGAGCAATTTTCAAAATTTCGGGCTAGCAAAAATCTTTAGAATTCTTGGACTATTCTGGAGCTAGACTAAAAAGTGAATGACATTGAATCATTCCAATATCCCAGATATGGAGTAACTTTTTAAATTCTTAGACATGAACAAATTTCAAGATCAGAGACCAGAAGAAATCTATCAGACGCCGGACTTCTGTGAAACTGTGATCTTTATAAAAACACAAGTGAATGAGACTTAGATTTATTTTTAAGATTTTAATTTTAATCACTTATACAAATTTTATAAATCATGGGTTCAGAATTTTTTTTCGAAACTCTTGAATATTGAACATTGTTTTTTTCGACTATCTCTGACTTATTGAAAATTTTGGATCCCAAACTTGACGACCAAAACGATTTTCAATATTCTAAGAAAAATATTCGAATTTTAACAGACTCTGGCGCATGGAAATGTTGTGCATTTCCTTTTCGAAACAATAACTTTAATCGCCGAACCCCGAATTTTCCGTAAAGTTCCGACATAGATTCGCCTGCCTTATCACTCATCTCCAAAACGGCTGCTAGCTGGCGGCTGTGTATCCCCGGTATCAAATAGTACATCACAGTTCTCGGTTGACTAGTACATCACGGAAGGGAGTGTATTAATCTTGTTTATATATTAAAAAAAATAAAAATGTCACTATTTTATATGCTCCTGCTTCGTGAGGAAGATGACGAAACAAAGAAAGAGAAATGGACGGAACCGTGCCCTCCACTACTACTCCGTGATGTGTACAGTTAGAAATCGACTAGGCTTAATTTAGTTGACTTTCATTTAGAACTGTTATACCTCTCACCCCAGCAGGCCTGGTCCAGTGTCACCGTCTTCAAATCTGCCGATGTAAGCAACTTAACCACTTCGCCCGCTTCTTCTCGTGCAGATGGTACATGACCTTGGCCATCCCGAACCGTGCATCCGGTTCGCTGCCAGGTAGCCATTGTTGATCTCCACAACCAATTTCTCTCCCGTGTCTAATCGATGGCCACTGGCAAGCTTCACGCTTTCGTATTAATTTCATTGTCTAATATTGGTTTCCAAAATGTTGTAGAACCGAATTATTATTTCAACGTCAGTAACAACATGTCCCGGCGGTTGTAGATTTCGAATCTAGTTAAATCCGTTTTACTGCGCAGCGGTCGGAGATACTCAATCCTTGATGTCCGGTAACAACTTGTCCAGCTGGGGTGCCTCTGGATCATCATCTTGGTTCGGATTCCACCTGTAGTGCTGTCCCTTCAAAGCAAAACATTCGAACTGTCGCAATACTGGGTTGCCAACCATGCCATTATTAACAAGCAAACAAAGTCAGTCCTATAACCGGCGCAGCTGCAGCACACATGAGGCACACTGAGAAACAAGTAGACACACACTAATTGTGTATAGTGACCACCCCTTGTCTAACTCTTTGAAGTAGCGTTATGAATAAATTCACGTCCGATAAGTCTTGCCCCCGACAACCGCGAGTACTCGGTCCAGTTCCTTTAACTTTAAATATAAGACAGTAATAATGATAACGCAAAGGATAACTCGGCTCTGTAAAGTTAAATCGATTGAGCCTGTACAAATAAAGTAATTAGAAAATAAAGTCTTGCCCCAACATTATTAGCCCGTTCACACTAAAGTCTATATTACGTAGGGAAGAGCGCTACTTCGTCGTAATCGCCCATTTTCGTTCTATCGAGTAGAAATCATCACAATGCACAAAACAATAATACGTTTGTTCCTATGCGTTAGTTCATTAGCTACAACATAAATCCTATTAGAGCGCATTGTATGCATATTTACGCTCATTGTTCTCAAAACAAAAGAAGCGCTCCTAGCGCATCCCCTTTTTCTCCGTTTATCCGTAGGACGAAGAAAATCTAATAGTGTTTCAATGCGTTTGGACGGAATTGAAACGCGTAGGACGAATTTAGAAGCAAGAAGCAGTGTTAGATTTTTAATACTATCTCAACATTGTTTGACTCTTTATCAAATCCAACGGTACGTATGGAAAGGTGGATAAATTTAGAAGTTATCTTTGATGAAAACATTCCATGTTTTGTTCAAACCCTTTCCAAAAAGCGTGGTAAAGTGCGGGATGTCCTTAGTAGGACGGAAATTAGATCAAAAACCCTATATAGCCTATCTTGATACGGAAACCATACATCAAGTTTTCAATTGGAGATAATATGTATGACGTTTAATATTAAAATACTCTAAACTCGTACACTATGCACATCACGTAATATAGATTGTAGTGTGAACGGGGTGTATCATCACTGATAATTTACTGATTCTTTCAAGCAATCAATAGTACAATACTTGATTGAAGCGGATTAAATGAGTTTAAAAAGGACCTTTAGATCAATATAGATTGAAAAAAGCTAACAACAAAACTTAGCTGAGATGTCTTCTGGAATCTATATATATTTCAATGTTAACACTTTCACCTTAATTCACCTTTTCAAAACCATTGCAACGATTTTATTAGAAATTATTAAAATCATATTGGATAGGCTAATTTTGAATACTTTCACGAGAAAACTACGCAGAAATACACAAACACGTAATTTCTGCATCGTGGCTTACTTCGATCTGTAGCAAATGGAGTTTTATTGATTTGAAAACTGCCGAATTTGTTTATCCAAAAACAATATTCATCGTTCATTTCAAACTAAAAGAGCAGTTAAATTAACACTATCCTCTCAATCCCATGTAGAAGCAATTGAGTACTGCGCTAATCGATTTACAATCACCGTAGTATTATGGGTCACCCTCAATTATGGGTCACTTTCATTTGATTAACACGCAGAACTGACTGACCCATAATAGTGACTAGCTGGCCCATAATACTGCGGTGACTGTATCTCCGACCACTCTTCGACTTACTTTCCCGGAAACCTGAAATTTATCATTTTGACGCTCCACTTTTCACCTCTATTAAGGAAACACCGATAACAAGGGGTTGTCGTTTTCATTGGAATAAGAATTCGCTTTGGCGAATGGGATTATTTACGGCAGAGGCGCCATGAATGCGTTCCAAAAGCTAGACAGGTACGATGTTACGAAGGTACATTGAGTAATGCGCGTTAATTAAATTTTGTCGGGAAAAAAACGTGTAACGGATGGTTTCCGCGACCGTCGTCGATCCGCTAAAAGGTAATAAATTCTCGAAATGAGCAAAAACCAGAAAAAGCGCGCTCAATTGTAGGGTACTACAATCGATTTTAATTAATTCCTTCCGCTCGCTGTTGGATGCATGTGCCGTTGAGTGGAGCGTGTGACACAAGTACCTACCAGCTCAATCCCGTGGATGGGATGCCTGGGTGGTAAAAAATTTGACCTGTTAAATGTACTCTACATTTCGGTGGAAAATTATCAATTATTCGCTCACTGATTAATACTTGCTTCGGAGAGTGTTTTTTGCTTTCTTTGAGTACCGGTGACGTGGAATTTAAGTTGGAAGACAGCGGATGACCAAGGGTATATTCCGAGCAAATCTGATTAGGGACACTTTTTTTTTATTCGGGCGATAATAAGCTTTCGTTTTTCAGAATTTCTTAGTGGTTCTCCTGTTTATCGGGTTGAAATAGATTTGGTCATGTTCTTGTTGAAGACATGCAATGTTAGAATAATTAATTCAAATCATACACATTATAATTCACATAAATATAATCCAACTTCATGAAATTTTATTTAAACTAAAAATTGATGTTTAACAATATGTCATAATTAAATATTAACCTACAAAACTAACAGTTGCATGCCGATCCCATTTGCGTATTGGTCAATACTATAATTTTCATTAGAAATTGTACTTAATTATGAAAACAGATTTAATTGCAGTCCAAAAGTGTCTAAACTTAATACATTCATTCAAATTGTGTTAAGTTCAGCAAAAAAATAAAAATAAAAATATGAAGTATCAAGGAATCACGTAGATGGAAAATTACTACCTAGCCAATTTTTTTCCTCGGTGGACAAAGCCGGGTTGTGTCACTATCAACAAGCAAAAAAAAAGGTGTGTTGCTTTGATTATAAAAACAATCCTGTTCCTCTAGTTTGAAGTAGCCACGAAAAGGTAATCGGCCATGCGTTACTAGCAAAGCTTTACAAATTCGCAAATTCACAAAACTCGTACAATTTCTACAAACCTCGAATGCTAATTGTAGAGAAACCACCCACATCCTTTCATCCATCGCTCTTCCGGACGTCATGGTGCGCTCAGCCGGGCGTTAATTGACAACACCATTAATATCCTTCGACAAGCGTTAGTTAATTACACACGTTCCGACAGCTGCTAAGCTCTGCCGACCCAAATACCAAAATCACTTCCACTGCCAAGAAACTTTATCCTCACTTGCAGTGCCGAAAACACGTTCGACTGTCTTCGTAACTAATTCCAACATTTTCTCGCTTTCTTTCCCACTTCCAGATAATCAGAAAGTTTTCCTTCCACCCGAATGGATCCCTTTCTCCCACGTCGTCGTCCGGTGGGGGTGGAGGAGGAGGCGCAGGTGGCATCAGTGGCTCCGCCATGGCAGGGCGGTCGATTTCGCTGAACAATCGAGCCACGACCAAGTACGTACTGCACAAGAACTGCACTCCTACCCGGTGCAAGGTGCAGCCGACGAGTCCGGAGCGGTCGGCCGGGGGTGCTGCGGCAACCAGCAGTTGGATGTCATCGGATGACTCTCCCGCAAGGCGGAGGTTAGATTTCTCACCGAAACCCGAAGCGGACATTCCGGCTACCCAGAACAATTATCGCGTCAACCGGGATGGGAAGAATCTGCAGAAAAAGCGCACCAATATCAGTAACAACAAGAACGTGAATCTGAGGAAGTGCTTCCGGATGAGGAAGGGGTTCAAGGAGGAACTGGTGGACGAGGAAGTGAATAATAGCAGTAGCGTGGTGTCATCAAAGTTGGATAAGATTAGCAAGACGTTGTACCACGTGGCCGGTGGTGACCGTCGGGAGGGGGAGGGAGTTTATGGGGAAAACAAGATCCACTCGAACAACCTGGCATCGCAGACGAGTGAAAAGAGCAAAATTTCCAAACCTCTGTTCCTTAGTGGAAAGCACAAAAAGTACAATCAGATTGAGACGCAGTTCGGGGCGGAAGATGGAGTGGATTTTGATGATGACGAAGACGACGATGACGAGCTGGTGGCATGTGAGGTGGACGCAATCCGTGCGGGAAATTCGTACGACGGTGGGCGATTGCAGTTTGAACTGTGTCAACCGCTTCCGGAGGCCGAACGTTCTCCACTTCCGGGCGGAAGTGGTAATAATTACGAGGAAATTGTCTTCGAGAAGGTGAAATTCGACCGTAATAAGCGATATCTGCGAAACGAAACCAGCTCTCCATCCACGGCGAGTAATCGATCCCAGAGTGGTTTCACCGTAGCTCCATCAGCCGATAGCATCCTGTCCATCAGCTTTGAGTGCAAACCGAGCCATCCACTGTCCCAGTTCGCAGAGGCAACTAGCAAAAGCGATGACTTTGTCGACTCCTGGCGGAACTACAACGTCAACAGCCGATGGAATAAGGTCTCCAAGAACCCCTGGGAACTGGAAGCCAGTAAAGCCGATTCGCCAGCAGTCTCGCCCCAGCACCGATCTTCCTGGAATCCGTTCATCGACAGCTCGCCGGCATCCGATTCCCCTGTGCACCAGCCGACGACCAAGGCGTATCCCCCTCCTTACCAGGTGCGTACTGATATCTGGCAGAATCTGAACAACAAAAATTACGAAATCGACTCGGACGTGATCTGGCGGACGTCGAACTCGTCGCGACGTACCTCGGCCAGCACCGTCGAGACGTGGATCGAGGACGAGGTGTTCGACAATTCTTTCAACGAGGAATTGGAACGGCGATGCGCTACGCTCAAGATCTAGACAGCAGGTGCAATACAGCTGAGAAACACCCGGAAATAGTGAGAGCAATACATTCTTGTGTCTTTTTCGTTCGCTCGAAAAATAGAACAGCAGAAATAGGACTTGGTTTCAAATTTCTCCCGGTCAACGGTAACAAAAATCTAGTTCTTAATATATTGAAAGTGAAATTCAAGCATGTGATATTAATTAATTTATAAACACAGAAAAGGAACAAAAAACAAATCTAAGTCTAGTTTGGTAAGGTTTATTTTACATTAGTGCAAGGAATTGATATGCTTTGTGTTTGCCGTTTTTCTTTGTGATTTTATTTTCTGTTGTTTGAACTAATGATCTCATTTAGATTGTGACTGTATTCGATAGGAGCTGATATAATTTAATTTTTGTAAAAACCAAGAGAGAGAGAGAGAGAGAGAGAGATTTGCTTTAATATAAACTCATAACAATCCTTCTTCTTACCAACTCTTACCTGAGACGGTGTACCTTAAGGATAAAAATTCCGAACAGCAGCGGAGATGGCAAAAATTGAATAATCATGAGAGAAAACGAATCAATGAGAACATAATAAATGCGTGCGAGCTTTGATGCCGGACTCAAGATCTAATGAAATCAAACATTTTTTCTATTCCCTCTATTTAAAATACCCCCCATATTTCCGCCAATTTGCGCGCGCTCGCCAGGAACATTTCGTAGGATACGATTAATAAGGTGTTATTTTTCATACAGCCAGTCTTTGTATACGCGGGAAGGAAGCAAATAAAACAGGATAATAAAGCAAATAAAACAGAAATGATAAAACAAAATTATTACGGCGATGAGTTGTGTTGGTGTTATTTGACGGGATAGAGAACCATTTCCATTTTCCATCAGCATATCAAACCGGCTGACGGTGGGGGTATGTGGGTGGTTGGTTGGTTGGGTGTCTTGGGAAAAACGCGTTCGCTCATTAAGGATTGGCATGTAGCCTATCAAAATATCAAAAAGCTTGTTGTCGGAAAGTTGATGACTTTGAATTCTATCGGTTGGTTGGATCCCAATGGCGTCGGCGTTCTATTTGGTGTGAGACGACAGCAGACGGCGCTGGGAGGCATTTTCGTCCATCGATCTGAGCCTCGTTGGAGGAGAAACTTTCATAATTATGTCTTTTGTTGGTAAGTATGCAGCAAGGTAAGCTTATTGGTCGGTTCAGTTGTTGTTATTAATTAAATATTTCCGCTGAAATCAACTCTTGACGTAATTCTCCTGAAAGTCTTCTGTTTGTGAGCACAATCAAAACTGTTCAATTTATAATAAGTAAATGACTACCGCACCTCAAGATTATGTTCAAATTCTGGAATTTAGCATATTTAGCTGGACTAGTTCCAGGCCAAATAGGATACAAACATAAACATTTTGGCTCGACCTTCTCCAATTTGCATGAAACATTGCGTAATTGTATGTAGTGGACAATCATTCACATTTTTTTCAATAGTTCTGCCATTTTTTTATCGAGTAATTTTTTTTAAATGACGTCATAAATTGTAGCACGAAACCGTTATTTCTGATCGAAATGATGTCTGAGACAAAATAGTATAGAAAAGAAAAGTCATTCTGGAAAAACTACACACGGTGTTTTTTTTAGTAATTTTGGAAAAAAAAAATTAAAAAAGGGTTCAAAACAAAAAATCTAAAAAGTTTATCTTTAATATTAATGATTTATTTTTCAAATAGAACTGATAAAAAATCTAAAACCGAAAATTACAGAATCACGCTGGAATGTGATGCGATCAGTGATGCAATTTTTTAAAACATGGTATGCAAATAATCTGACCACATGAACTAAGTAATGTAATGGGGCTTGGGCTTGGGATAGAATCCCCGATCTTCTGCACAGAAAGTAAAAACGGTCTCCACTAGGCCACCGTGACCGTTACATTACAACAAACCACTATGGCCGCGGATCGTTCAAGGCTGGACACAAGAAGCTATCGGCTAGGATTTAACCAAATGTCCCTTCCTTTCCGTTGCATGGCTTACAGGATCGAACCACTTCATATATCATGCAAGGAGTGTAGTCCGGCAGCGGACGGTGATTGATGGTTGATTCAAGAACTGGTGAATGTGCTATATCAAGCGGCAAATTTTCAGAATTTCCTGGAATTCTCTTTGCGTCCCCCGCAGAGATGCCAGACAGACATGTCTTTGAATCTACAGACTTTTATTTTTTTTCAGTCAATTTTTTCGTTACAGACATTTACAGACTTTTTGGATTTTTCACAGATATTTACAGACTTTTGTAATCAAGGGAAAATTTTAAAATTTATTTGGGAACTCAAGAGGAAACTCCATAACAAACTTTTTCAAAGGATCAGGTAAGCTATCATTTAAGGAAAATCAATATAAATACTTGCACTCATCATTATGTTGAGTTCCATGTGATTTGAGGAATCGCACGATGCATTTCGGCGCAAGTCAGAATCTGTCCACTTCCCGGGGGTATCCGGTACACCTGAAAGAGGCCATTGTGATCATTGGGTCGAAATATGTCCACCATTGATCTTGTAGTAAAATTATAATGTGATGAGTTTTTGATGTATCAATCTTTTGCGATTTCCCCAGTGGAATCTGGAGTTCACATTTTTGTTCATATCTTCGGAACCATAATTCCGATCGGGGAAAAAATCAATAGCGATCTATAAGGATCTGAAACACATTTTTTGGAATTTGTTCAACTCAAATTGGTCCAGCCATCTCTGTGAAAATTGAGAGAGTTACATTCAGATGAACTTACATACATTCAAACATACATACATATACATACATTTTCAAGTGATGTCATTGCTTTTCGGTACACCTTGCTGTACGAGAATGGCAAAAAGGTTGGTTTCAGCAAATTGTGTTATATTTAGCCAAGTTTGTCTCCCCCAAGTGTGTAATTATTTTGCAAAATGTAATGAATATGTTGCTTGATATATCTTATTTTAAAACTGCATTTGTAAAATCGTTACACCAGTGTTAGTGTTTAGCGCCAATTCATCGTACTTGGCTTCGTTGTACAGTAATCTTCATTTCACGATGATCTTTATTTTGATATTCTTTTCTATCTGAATCGTTTTAGCAACCCTGATCCTGATTCATCATCACTTTTTGAGAACGTAGTGTTTAGAATCGTATTAAAAAGATTATAAATTGCTCTTTTGATTGTCGATTCCTACATATTTAGGTGGTGGAAAGTTGATGTGTAAGTAAGATGTGCTCGTTCCCCCGCTGCAGGCGTGTAAAAGTACCAGTACTAAGTAACTATCGGATGTCCACACTACATGGTGTATAAGATTGACTCAAATTAAAGTTTAAATTACTATAGAAAACGTTGTTTACTTGTAGACTGAGTAAAATTTTCCGAGCCTCATAAATCTTTTCGAATCGTCGCCAAATGTACTCATTCTAGATGAATACTCAAAGAATAAATCACGAATGAAAGGGAAAATATTCATTAGAATTTCACATAACTTTCATGTGATATCATAATTGGGAATCGCACCACAAAATTACATGAACTTTATGTGTCAAACTAAATTTAAGTGATTTATCATATGATAACATGAATGTTGAATTCAGATAGATATAATTGGTTTTGTTAATGGATAAAAATAATGTGCATTCCCAATGGAAACTACATGAAAACTTTTTTCCGTGTACTAATTTCACGTGTACATCGAGATGTTGCTCATATTAAAAAAAATCCTGTAAAATCTCGGAAAATTTTACTCAGTCTATGAGTTAACTACACACTACGAAAAAGTCGTGTTAATTTCGGTTCTCTGAGACCGACACATGTAAGTGACCCTTTTGACATAAGAATGAGTTGAAAAAAAAAAACGAGAAAATCAATTTAATCAAACGTTCTCTTCGTCGACTTGGTTATGTTTCGGTTGAGAGCTCTTAATTCTCCATGAATTTTTTTTTTTGAATATATGTTTTGTATCAACTCTATACTTTCATCTCATCATCTTTAGTCTGTTATTTGAAATAAGCATCTTCAACTATGAAATGTTTCTTTACATTCCACGATTTACGGCCAATATGGATTACGTCTTGTGTAAAAGTAGTAATTTCTAAGTGTGTACGTTTTCAAGAATATTAGTGAACTAATGTCAACTATGAGTCGACCTCATTTGTCGTGTAATCGTAATGTATCTTTTTATTAATTGCTTTTAACGTACACGGTAAGAAAAAAGTACCCAACGGCCAGTTCACTTTTACCTACTTTTGACTAGTTTGTCTCCTTTTCTCCTTAAAATGTTGTCAAAAACGGAGGAGCCAAGCAACCCAACAGGGGTAGTAAAGTGTGGGAACCCAACGTTGAGTATAATCACATTTACCTACTTTTGGGCAGAACTAACTTACTTTTGGGTAGAAAGTGAGTGGAAAATTCCATATGAATTGCACACAAGTAAATGAAAACTACTTTGATCCGCTTTACCTACATTTGGGATCCTGCACTATAGTGCCAAGATGAGTGAAAAGGACTTACTTTTGGGTACTTTTTTCTGCATTCCCAACTACAATAAATTCGTTAAAAGCAGGTCTTTTTTGCTCGAACATTACTTTTCCTGACATTTCAACATTTCAAATTTCGCATCTATATCTTTGATGACCAGTGGGGGGGGGGGGGGGGGTTGGGTTGCATCTTAATTTTATGCAGCCCAATTACAGACATTTCTGAAATTCACGGACATTTTTCGCAGACTTCTGAAAAAAAAATCTGGCATCTCTGGTCCCCGTGAATCTTCCTGGGTCAGAACTACCATTGAAATCTATCCATAACTACTACAACTACTCCTTTGATGAATTCTTTAGGAATTCTATTGAACTGTTCTCTAAAAAACAATGATCTCCTTAGAGTTCCTGTGGAACTGTTTTCATATTCAGATTTCCGTGGATAATTATTGCAGTTCTCTTGGAAATAATGTCAAGAGTTCATTGGAGGTTTTTACAGAATTATCTTGGAATTGTGGTCAGAAATTCCTATGAAATGTTATTTGAATTTTATTCAGAGATCCTTTTCAATCATACTCAGAATTCACTTTACTCCTATCATACTTATCATGTACTTTTAATCATAAAATCTTTGGAATTTTCCAAAGAATTCCCCTGAAGTTGCCTTTGCAAAGCTCATTGAAAATTTTAACAAAATTTCAAAATTTTACAATTACAAAACCCTTAACTGAAGTCCTTAAGAATTTTTTAGGAGTTCTCTGCAGAATACCTTTGCAATTACGCCCATTGATTAAACGCTAATGAAATTAATTTCGTTGGATAGTTTGCTAGGAATGCATGAAGCGGTTGTTTTCACCACCCCGTCACTACGTCCTTGTTCATTAGCTCTTATAGCTGCTTTCTAATAGTGGAATCCATTAGAAACCAAAGGTTTTGACTAATATACAATATGTAATTACAATGTACACGATGTAAGGATGGATTTTATACATCCTCTGTATATGTTTCTTACAACACATATGATTGCAGTACATACAATGAACTGTTGCATACAAACAGTTTGTTCCAGAATTAATTTCGTAAACCTTAAACCTTCACAAAATGATTTTACAGCCGCAAAATATTTAGGGGAAACAAATTTTGTTCAAAAATTTACCTAAAATAAAAATTACAAAATTATTTTTTTTTAATCCTTCCGACGACCACACTACCACAACAATGGGTTCAAGGTTTCTATGAATGGAAGATGAGTTTTCCAAATAAACTAATTTCAAGCTACTCGACAGTTCTAAAATTTGAAACTGTCAAAAATGAAACTGCAACA